GAAACCTACTGTCGGCCAACTAGCTCCAATCGCAGCCTCGTCTATCCTGTCTATTTCCAAAGAACCATCAAAATTTGTCCGGATTGTCTTGGTCTTCCTCCGTCTTATTATCCCATAGCTAAGCGATTTCTTGTCATACCTGTTATTTATCAGATCCCGAACCCTCTGTGACTTCTGGTGTGTCATACTATGGAGTTTTTTTTTGAAAATCATCTAAAGTGAGAACCCCACCTAGATACTTCCTTAATCTAGACTTGAGATCTATGAACTTAAATAGCTTACGCCTCTTAGTCTCGTAACTTCTAATTTCTGGATGCAGGCGTAATAAAGTATTTCATTAACTCCTGTGTTGCCTATTATTTGTTCGCTTTCTTCATATTTCTTGTTACTACATGATAATTGCTTTCGACTTTGTCTTACAATTATTATGAATAAATATATCTATTGATTTTATATTTGCCTATTCTCAAACATCCTGTATAGGTGGCCTAGATTTAGTTCAATTAAACTAAAGGAGATCCCTACTTTATGCAGATTAACATAGCCTTTATGATACGTCTATTTGTTTACAATATTTATGAATTCAGTAGGCTTGTTAATATAATTAAATGCTCTATCAGTAAATTTTAAGCTTATTATCTGCATTAAGTTCATTAAGAATTCTATTCACCCCTATTGCCTCCATTGTTATTAGATACACACTTTTAATCTTGTCATTCTCATTCGAATTTGTGTAAATTCGGCTACCGACGCCTATCTCTCACTGTTTTCATTCGGTTAACTATTAAACGAATAGCCTGAGTCCGTTAAAATCAAAATGATTATATTTTGGGGTCCACCTAATGTTACTGCTTCAACCATTAGTTTGGATCTGCTTTGCCTTCTTACCTTCTTTGTTTGTATCATCAATTATTTTTTTCAGGCTAAGGATGACCAAGGAGGGATTCGCACAAATGCCACCGTCTGTATGGTTAAATTGTCCGGCTACTTCACTTCCTCCGTCAGGCGCGGTCCTCTGCTCAACTCATTCCTGCGCTCAACACGAGACCCCTCCGTGCCAGCTAGACAGGCCGGCATTGCAGCACTAGCTGCAACTCAGGTGACAAAAGGGTGTATGCATTCTTTCATCTTTTTATCTTTACACATTTTTGTGCTAACAAGAGCGGCCAGTAGATGCTGTCGAGGAAACTCCGCTATTTAATACTTGCAACCTATTAGATCAAGTAAAATACGATCACCTGTCCGGCTTTAACAATAATTTTGTGTTGCTAGTTCTTTGTATTGGAAATATCATGTAACTCTTTGCGATTATTCAAGTTGGTAAACTTTTCAATCTTACGTGAAATGGTTCAGGTAGGTTTCTTTTTATTGTTCTAATTAACCATACATTAAGCTTATCATTT